TCACACACACACACACACACACACACACACACACACACACACAGTCTGATCAGTGAAGTGAGGCACAGGGAGAGGCACCTTAATGGCCTATTTCAGCATTATTACAGTGTTGTGGATGGATTGTCAGCAGGAGCCCTGAGATACTGAAGTGTGAAAGCCATCAGCGGCTCTCGTCCGTCTCCACACTCCTCTGATCCTCCCTGTCATTACTGGAGTGGGATGGAGCCGCAGCAATTTCCCCCAGATTCCTCCTTCCCTCTCTCAAACACATCCACACGTCCTCCGTCTCCTCCACCAGCCTCTCTGACTTTATTATGCCATGTGATTGGAGAATTTGCCCTACATTCACTTAACACTTGTGCCATCTGTTAGACTCCCTCGTTAATGGTGTCAGATCCTCGGCAAATCATTGATATTCAAATGTATGCACATAGCGTTATATTCCAGCACGCCGTTTCCTGCCTTCTAATGGACGGTTTATTTATCAAAGAGGGATATTCATCAGCGCAAAAGCGACTAAATGTTTTGCCTGCATCGAGACCGGCACTTTAAGACTGAGCTTTACTCAAAACAGTCTTTATGATTCATTGACATTTTAAATGCATGTGTAAAAATCATTTTATTCATAATTATTATTTTCAACTAAATAAGGTTCACTCTGTAATTTTTCCTCATTTAAAAGTTTTACATCTAAATTAATTTTATCATCATTGCTAAAAACCTTCACATTTGGTAGAAACATGTATTCAAAGCGACTTGCATTGCATCAAATGTTTACATTTGTATCAGCACATGCTTTCTCTGTGAACTGAACGCATGACTTTGGCATTGCTTAGTATATAACCACAAGACTGCCATATTGACAATTGCAACATACACAAAATGACTGAATACACCTTTAAATTGGGTCCATTTTAATTTTGTTTTCATTTGAAATGATTCTGCCCATCGTAACAAAAGCAGTTTGTGATGTATTTGTGCTGGTCATTTCAACACTTACTTTAATCTAGACCCAGTATTTCAGCACAGATCTGTATGTTCACCGTCTAATGTCAAATAACAGACAAATCCTGAATCGTGAAACTCAAGAACGCTGCTCTACACACCTGAACACAACCAAGTGCTATAATACAGGACTAGTCATGCTGAAGATTACATCACAGAGCACTAAACAGGCAACTAAACGCCATGGTCCTGTAACCCTATATGCTGCATGAAGGAATCAACCGCAGACATTTATCTTGCGACATTGGAAACTTCATTAATTTACAATTTGATATGGTTAAACTGACTCACTATTACCATTTGGTAATTGGTTTGATTCTGTCATACTCAAATCACCACCTAAAGTGACCTTGGTGAATATGTTCCTGGAAATCAGAGCCATTACAATCTTCATTCATAAAATAAAAAGAACAAAATCATTATTATGCTAAAAAAACGTATGCTTTTACACATAAACATGTTCTGCTCAGTGAAAACTACTACTTCTAGTGAGATTCTGACGTGTGCATTCAGTGGACACTTTACTATAGCATGAGGCCACGTGAGAGGGGTTGTGAATGGCAGTGAAGTGATGCAACTGATGCCGGTACAGTAGGTCACATGACTATGACAACAAAATGTAGTAAAATTCATGCCATACACAACATACTTTCTAAAGGTCGTGAAGTAATTACATACATAAAAATAACCTCAGAGAGTATGTGATTTCCGACACATTCACACAGGAACAAAACAGGTGCCTGTCTTTTTGAGTGAGTCATTGAATGAGTCACTCAACTGATTCATTCAAAAATTCTGATTCATTCAGAAATGAAACAAGTGCTTAAATGATTTACTCATTTGTGTTAAAATCAAGATGGGACTAATAAATTGACCTATTTGTATGACAGAACTAAAGGTAGGGTATGTAATTTTTCAAAAACACTTTAGCAAACTGATTCGGGCCGAATAGCAAAACAAACTTGTAGCCAATCAGCAATAAGGGGTGTGTCTACTCGTGATGTGGAGGAGAGCGCGTTCAGTGCATGGGACGGACATTAGCCGAGCCGAGCGACAGAAAGATAGAGATGGCGGATAAAAAACAAAAGAGGAAAACGTCTGCGGAACGATAAGGCAAGAAGTAGGACCCGTGTAAATATCGGATCAGCTTTCCAGCGCTGGAGAGAACTCAAGGAGCGGAGGCCTGCGATCGGACGCCGAGGTTGCTTTGTTTCTTCTCAATAGGTGAGTAACACCGTGTCTACAACAGCTAAAGTCTGCCTACACTGGACGCGATCAAACCACCGTTGAAAACCATTTGAAATTTGTGTCAGCACGTCATAAATAGAACCTGGTTACTTTTTCATGGAATAACCATATATTGTAATGCATTACTTTTAAAAGTAATTTTCCCCAACACTGCGTATAAGATATGATATTACAACAGATTACGTAAGAATGATTTTACATAGACACACATTCTGCTCGGCTCAAGAAATGGAAGCATGTAGAAGAGAAGAGATGTGCTTTTGTTGACTTCATCACCATGGAGATTTAATAGGCTCGTATTGGGCCACCTGGGTACCAGCAGGACCTCGAGTGCTAATGAGGGAGAGACGCTTCTGCACTCACCGCGCGCACACACACACACACACACACACACAAACACACACGGCTCTCACGGACGCTCCTGCTTCAGATCAAACGCTGCTCATTACGCGACACCCGTCACTGCCAAACCTCTTATTCCTGATCTTTATTTTTCACCACATCAATTTAAGTATGAATCAAATTTCTTTCAGAATCTGGAGCGTGACTAATAACGTCTGCGGGTGATCTCTGCGAGGCTCTCTTTGCACTGAAATGTCACCACTTGGTGAGATGTTGTGGAATGAGACACGTGCAGTGGAGCATGGCGCTGATCGCACACCTCCGGCTGCAATCTGAGGAAACATGATGATGATGATGATGATGATGATGATGATGATGGTGAGGAGCATGATGTAATCCCTCTCATGCCACAGCAAGCGTGAGCAGCACACGCACAGAGCAGCAGTGCCATCTCATGGTCACACAGGGAAGTGCCACATAAGGTTCAGAGAATTACATCACTGTTATCAGACAATAGTGGCTGCTGAGAATCTGATGTGTGGATACAGACACAAACGCATCACCAAAGTTGGCAAAAACAACAAAAATACTCACAGATGATGCAGCCTTATGATCTCTTACAGTGTTGTATTATTGAACCTATTTATTTCACTTCATTTCATCACATTGGTGACAAGATGGTGACAAACTAACAGTTTTTGCACATTCTTTCTAATAGTCTTATGTTTAAAAGTTTGAGGTCAGAAATATTTATTTGGTTGTTGGCATTAGTTAAAATGAACTAACAATAAAAAAAACACTTCTACAGCATTTATTAATCTTAATGTTAATCTCAACATTGACTAACACATATTATAATTAAGACATGCATCTGTTAATATTAGTTAATGCACTGTAAATAACATAATTTAACAAAGGTTAATAAATGCTGTAAAACATATTGCAAATTTTGTATGTTATTGTCTACAAAATAGACCTTATTTTAAAATGTTACCATTTGTATGTTAGCATCAAAGAAATTAATACTGTTTATTCATCAATTATGCATTAAATGGATCAAAAGTAAAGACATTTATAATGTTATAAAAGATTTATGTTTCAAATAAATGCTGTTCTTTTGAACTTTCTATTCATCTGTGAATCCTGAAAAATAAAAAGTATCACGGTTTCCACAGAAATATTGTGCAGCACAACTGTTTTCAACATTGATAATAATCAGAAATGTTTCTTGAGCAGCAAATCAGCATATTAGAATGATTTCTGAAGATCATGTGACACTGAAGACTGGAGTAATGATTTGATCACAGGAATAAATTACAGATTAACATAGATTCACATATAAAACAGCTGTTTTAAATAAGAATAATATTTCACTATTTTTACTGTGTTTGATCAAATAAATGCAGCCTTGGTGAGCAGAAAATACGACTTTCAGAAATGTTAGAAAAATCTGATTGACCTCAAACTTTTGAACAGTATCGTATATACTCTAGTTCTACATACATGTGCTCCTGTTTTTAACAGGCAAATGTTCCATATGAATGTCTTGGTTTCAGATGATGTGCTGATGTCTTACCGTTGTTCTGAGTCTCCTGTGAAGCCGTGAGTCCGCTCCTCTTCTTGCGTATGTTCATGAGCTTGGCCTGTGAGATCTCTCGGACTATAGAGAACAGCTGCTCTTTCGAGCTCTGCGCCGGAGGACTGCTCTTCTCCTGTCCACACTCAGACTTGTTCAGATGATGGTTCCCCACCTCACAACGCCAATATTCAATGATTAAACACTTGAAAACCCAATGCAAACATTTGCTATTATAATGTTTTTGTACTCACATCTCCATTCTGTCTTCTGTATTTGAATATCGGCGGTAATGACGCAGCTTTAGACCTGAAATCACATTCGGTCACATTCTGTTTGAAAACGTCTTTCATCTTTAGTGAAAATGCTGTCTTTCTCTTACCCGTTCACTCTCTTCATGCCGATGGGTTTATTGAACAGCAGGTCACTGTATGGAAGCTTTTTGAATTTGTCTCTGCCAACAGCGACGTAAAACTGTCCGTTTTCTAACTCCTTTCCATCCATAACGAGAGTCCCTTCAAAGGTGTACAGGCTGTAAGAGAAGATGTCAAAGGCATTAATTAGGTAAATACAGCTCAGGTAATTCAGAAATGCTTCCTTTTCCCTAATGAGAAAAGGGTACTTATCATCCAAATGACTTTTCATGAGCATTTAAGACTTTTACAGTGTGTCCTGGAGAACCACAATAATGAAAGTAAATCAAAATTATGTTTTTTTTTAAATTACTATACTCTAGGCAGTCTCTCTAAAATCAATACTGTTACAGGTGCACATATCACCTGCAAACATTAAGAGTTACCCTGTTGAAAAAAACAGCATATGCTGGTTAGGTATGTTTTGAAGCATGGCTGCTGGTTTGAAATGGTTTAAGCTGGTCCTTAGCTGGTCATGAGCTGGTTTAAGCTGGTCCTAAGCAACTAGCTCATGTACAGGACCAGCGTAACCCTTATGAAGGTTAACCATGGTTTTACTACAAATTAAACCAAAAAAGTCTCTAGGTTACGCATGTAATCCTGGTTCCCAGAGGGAACGAGACACTGCGTCGAAACGCTATGGGAATGCCTTAAGCATGACCACGCTCTGAATCACGTGTGTAATCAGTCCAATGGATAGGCGAGACGTCACGGGCAGGGTGACATAGCGACCAGGAAGCTTAAAAGCACGTGCGGTGGATACAGCGGCCGCTTCTGGAAAATGAAGTAAGCGCTCGCAGGGATGCCGGAAGTATGGCACTGAGACGCAGCATCTCGTGCCCTCGGGGAACCATGGTTACATGCGTAACCTAGAGACATTCCCTTTCAGGAACTCGAGCTGCGTCGAAACGCTATGGGAATGAGTATGCCCACGCCGCCAGACTTTCAAATCCCTGCCTAGTGTGGAAGAGCACAGCTGGGGCGAGAGAACAGAAGGGCCCGGAGTGGCTCGCATGTCGAGGCCATAGAACCTGATGAACATTAGGGGCGTGGACCAACCCGCAGCATTGCAGATGTCCTGCATAGAAACACACTTGATAGGAAGGCCTTGGAGGCTGCCACACTTCTAACGGCCAGCATCTCCAGGCAGTTGATGTGCCAGGTGAGATGGCAACCGCTCCACAGACCGCGGGCTGAGTGACCACTCGTGACCGCTCCCCAACCGGTGAGTGACGCGTCCGTCTCTAGCGTTATGCGGTGACAAGGAGCTCCCAGCACCGGGCCCTGAGACAAGAACCAAGGCTTCCTCCACGGAGGCACGTAGGCATTGCCGCATGACCTTGAGCATGTGGAGTGGGTTTCCCCTCGGGGAAAACCCCTTGGTCTTGAGCCACCACTGTAGGGGTCTCATGTACAGCAGGCCAAAAGGTATCATGTTGGACGCAGCTGCCATCAGACCCAGCAGTTTTTGAAACTTCTTGACAGTGAGTGACCGGCCTTCTCTTACTCTCGTGACTGCAGTGAGGATCGACTCGATCCGAGCAGGAGACAGTTGTGTCTGCATCGTGGTCAAATCCCACACCACGCACAGATAAGTGGTTCTCTGTACTGGAGAAAGCACACTTTTCTTGGCGTTTAGTCTTAACCCGAACTCTTTCATGTGAGCGAGAACGACATCTCGATGCCGAACCGCCATCTGCTCTGATTGAGTTAATATCAACCAATCGTCGATATAGTTCAGTATGCGGATGCCCTGGAGTTGCAGAGGAGCCAGAGCAGCATACAGACACTTCGTGAAAGTGTAGGGTGAGAGTGCAAGGCTGAACGGAAGAACCCGATATTGGTAAGCTTTGCCTCCAAAAGCAAACCTCAGGAACGTCATGTGTTGAGGAAGAATGGAAATATGGAAGTATTCGTCCTTCAGATCTATCGTGACAAACCAGTCCTCGGACCTGATCTGAGACACGACTTGTTTGATTGTGAGCATTCTGAACTTCAGTCACATGACTGAGCGATTAAACTGACGCAGATTTAGAATAGGACACAACCCCCCATCCTTCTTTGGAACTATGAAGTACTGGCTGTAGAACCCGGACTCTCTGTCGTGAGGAGGGACCACCTCGATGGCCTCCTTCCTCAAGAGAGTGTTTACTTCATGTTCCATGACCATAGCCTGCTCGGGGACCACCAGAGCGGGAATTACGAAGCCATTTGTTGTCGAGAGGAGGGACCACCTCGATGGCCTCCTTCCTCAAGAGAGTGTCAACTTCCTGTTCCATTACCAGAGCCTGCTCGGGGCCCACCAGAGTGGGAAGAACCAGTGCAGAAATGAGGTGGTGGAGAACCGAACTGGATTCTGTAGCCTCTTTCGACAGTGTGCAGGACCCATTGAGACACATTTGGTAGAAGTTTCCACGCTGCCAAATAGTCTACTAAGGGAATCAGTCTCTCGAGACTGACCTCTGGTGTAATCAGAGCAGCTAGCTCGGTGCCCTGAAGCGGCGGACCGGCAGGGGACGGCCGAACTAGCTGCTCTAGAGATCTCCGAAGAGGTAGCGAGCCTCCCAGTACCGCTATGTTTCCGGGCGGAGACTGAGAGAAGCGCCCTGAAGCACCGTGGGTGGCAGGGTTGGCAGATCGATCTCCTGAGGGCACTGAGGAGAGATGGGCACGGTATGATGAGGTGTACACCGCTCTTCCCCAGAGGGGCCTGCCCTCAGAAGTCCTGAGCCACAAGCCGAGAAGGGTCTCGCCCACGACCTCGACACCTCAGTGTGGAGGTCAGAGAAGAAAGGCAGGCTCCGGCATGGAAGTGGCGGTTTACTCCGCAGAAAGCATTCATAGAGATTGCTTTTCTGCAGTTCAGCCTGTTTCTCAGCGGGCCAGTTCTCAAAGAGAGCCTTCCGGGAGCGAAGCGTACGCAGTGGCAGACGCTCGCAATGCGGGTAGTCAGCTCCCTCGAGAGCTGACACTGCATGCTTCGCTCCCAAGCAGACAATGCACAGACTGTGTATATCCCCACCCGTAATGTAGCGCGGGCAGGGAGGAACACACAGCCTGAAACGCTGCCTGCTCTCGCCCAAGTGTTTTGTCTTATCACTCGCCTTTGGCATGACTTATAATGAGGGACAGACAACACTAAATAAGACTCACAAATGGATAGAGACTGACACACACACAGAGTGCTTGCTGAATGACAGAGAGCTGCCGCTATATCCACCGCATGTGCTTTTAAGCTTCCTGGTTACTACGTCACCCCGCCTGTGACGTTTCACCCATCCATTGAACTGATTACACACGTGATTCAGAGCGTGGTCACGCTGAAGGCATTCCCATAGTGTTTCGACGCAGCTCGAGATCCTGAAGGGCTGTGTGCAAAAAAGCAACAAGATTCCTCCAAAAATCCACAGAACAAACAGGAGGGAGAATAAACAGTGCCAGAATTTTTATTTTTTGAGTGAACTAATAGCTTAAGCTTTTTAGTATCCCACAGAGATATTTTATTAAATCTGCAGCATTATTGCATGACGTTATGAAGTTTGTCAAGAAGAAGGTCAGGATTATGAAATAAATAAATAAACAGTACTTACAATATTGCACAGGGTTCTTTGATGGGCTTCAGGAATCTGGCAGATACAATCACACGACTCTGAGGAACAGGTTTCAGCTTCACACAGGAAAAAATAAAGGGTGAGGATCTGCAGAGGAGTTAAATCTAGCAAAAACTACAGCTGACAAACATCCAGTTCAATCAAAACATAAACGTGTAGTACACAAGACATTAACCGTTTTAATCTGCTCATGATAATCTGAATCCACCTTTATAATTATATATACATCTTTATACACCACTACGATGGATTTGAAATAAAACAATCAACATGTGATTGAAGTGCAGACTTTAAGCTTTAATTCAAGGGGTTGAACAAAAATATAACATAAAATGCATAAAATGAAATGCTGCTCAATCGGGTTGAGATCAGGAGATTGACTCGGCCATTGCAGAATAATCCACTTTTTACCTTCAAAAACTCTTGGGTTGCTTTTGCTGTATGTTTTGGGTAATCGTCCATTTGTACTCTTCCCGTCATTCTGGTACAGGTTGGTCTTTATTTCAGCTGTCCAAATAATGCTTTTCAAGAAGTGGTCTGGCTTTTTTAGATGTTTTTTGGCAAAGTCTGATCTGTCCTTGTTTGCAGCTTGTGGTGAAGCCTCTGTATTTGCTGTGGTGAAGTCTTCTCTTGATTGTAGACTTTGACAGAGACTCGTCTGCCTCCTGGAGAGTGTTCTTCTCTTGGCTGATGTTGTGAAAGGGTTTTTCTTTACCATAGAGAGGATCCTCTGATCATCCAGCACTGTTGTCCTCCGTGGACGTCCAGGCCTTTTTATGTTGCTGAGCTCAC